TCCCTCCCTCCCTGCTGCTACTGTCCCTCCCTCCCTCCCTGCTGCTACTGTCCCTCCCTCCCTGCTGCTACTGTCCCTCCCTCCCTGCTGCTACTGTCCCTCCCTCCCTGCTGCTACTGTCCCCTCCCTCCCTGCTGCTACTGTCCCTCCCTCCCTGCTGCTACTGTCCCTCCCTCCCTGCTGCTACTGTCCCTCCCTCCCTGCTGCTACTGTCCCTCCCTCCCTGCTGCTACTGTCCCTCCCTCCCTGCTGCTACTGTCCCTCCCTCCCTGCTGCTACTGTCCCTCCCTCCCTGCTGCTACTGTTCCCTCCCTCCCTGCTGCTACTGTCCCTCCCTCCCTGCTGCTACTGTCCCTCCCTCCCTGCTGCTACTGTCCTCCCTCCCTGTCCCTCCCTCCCTGCTGCTACTGTCCCTCCCTCCCTGCTGCTTCTACTGTCCTTCCCTGCTGCTACTGTCCCTCCCTCCCTGCTGCTACTGTCCCTCCCTCCCTGCTGCTACTGTCCCTCCCTGCTGCTACTGTCCCTCCCTCCCTGCTGCTACTGTCCCTCCCTCCCTGCTACTGTCCCTCCCTCCCTGCTGCTACTGTCCCTCCCTCCCTGCTGCTACTGTCCCTCCCTCCCTGCTGCTACTGTCCCTCCCTCCCTGCTGCTACTGTCCCTCCCTCCCTGCTGCTACTGTCCCTCCCTCCCTGCTGCTACTGTCCCTCCCTCCCTGCTGCTACTGTCCCTCCCTCCCTGCTGCTACTGTCCCTCCCTCCCTGCTGCTACTGTCCCTCCCTCCCTGCTGCTACTGTCCCTCCCTCCCTCCCTGCTACTGTCTGCCTCCCTCCCTGCTGTGTCCCTCCCTCCCTGCTGCTACTGTCCCTCCCTCCCTGCTGCTACTGTCCCTCCCTCCCTGCTGCTACTGTCCCTCCCTCCCTGCTGCTACTGTCCCTCCCTCCCTGCTGTTACTGTCCCTCCCTCCCTGCTGCTACTGTCCCTCCCTCCCTGCTGCTACTGTCCCTCCCTCCCTGCTGCTACTGTCCCTCCCTCCCTGCTGCTACTGTCCCTCCCTCCCTGCTGTTACTGTCCCTCCCTCCCTGCTGCTACTGTCCCTCCCTCCCTGCTGCTACTGTCCCTCCCTCCCTGCTGCTACTGTCCCTCCCTCCCTGCTGCTACTGTCCCTCCCTCCCTGCCTGCTGCTACTGTCCCTCCCTCCCTGCTGCTACTGTTCCCTCCCTCCCTCCCCGCTGCTACTGTCCCTCCCTCCCTGCTGCTACTGTCCCTCCCTCCCTGCTGCCTGTCCCTCCCTCCCTGCCTACTGTCCCTCCCTCCCTGCTGCTACTGTCCCTCCCTCCCTGCTGCTACTGTCCCTCCCTCCCTGCTGCTACTGTCCCTCCCTCCCTGCTGCTACTGTCCCTCCCTCCCTGCTGCTACTGTCCCTCCCTCCCTGCTGCTACTGTCCCTCCCTCCCTGCTGCTACTGTCCCTCCCTCCCTGCTGCTACTGTCCCTCCCTCCCTGCTGCTACTGTCCCTCCCTCCCTGCTGCTACTGTCCCTCCCTCCCTGCTGCTACTGTCCCTCCCTCCCTGCTGCTACTGTCCCTCCCTCCCTGCTGCTACTGTCCCTCCTCCCTCTGTCCCTCCCTCCCTGCTGCTACTGTCCCTCCCTCCCTGCTGCTGCTACTGTCCCTCCCTCCCTGCTGCTACTGTCCCTCCCTCCCTGCTGCTACTGTCCCTCCCTCCCTGCTGCTACTGTCCCTCCCTCCCTGCTGCTACTGTCCCTCCCTCCCTGCTGCTACTGTCCCTCCCTCCCTGCTGCTACTGTCCCTCCCTCCCTGCTGCTACTGTCCCTCCCTCCCTGCTGCTACTGTCCCTCCCTCCCTGCTGCTACTGTCCCTCCCTCCCTGCTGCTACTGTCCCTCCCTCCCTGCTGCTACTGTCTCTCCCTTCCCACATGCTAACAAGCAACAGCAACACACAATAACAATGAACAATAACAATGTACAATAACAATGAACAATGACACACAGGACTGGGTACTCACTTGTTCCTGAGGCGTGAAAGAGAAACAGAGGACATTATACACCCTGTTACACCCTACACCCCCTGTCACACCCTACACCCCCCTGTCACACCCTACACCCCCCCTGTCACACCCTACACCCTCCTGTCACACCCTACACATCCCCGTCACACCCTACACATCCCCGTCACACCCTACACCACCTGTCACACCCTACACCACCTGTCACACCCTACACACCCCTGTCACACTCTACACACCCCTGTCACACTCTACACACCCCTGTCACACTCTACACACCCCTGTCACACTCTACACACCCCTGTCACACCCTACACCCCCCTGTCACACCCTACACACCCCTGTCACACCCTACACACCCCTGTCACACCCTACACACCCCTGTCACACTACACACCCCTGTCACACTACACACCCCTGTCGCACTCTACACACCCCTGTCGCACCCTACACACCCCTGTCGCACCCTACACACCCCTGTCACACCCTACACACCCCTGTCACACCCTACACATCCCTGTCACACCCTACACACCCCTGTCACACCCTACACCCCCTGTCACACCCTACACCCCCTGTCACACCCTTCACACCCCTGTCACGCCCTACACACCCCTGTCACGCCCTACACACCCCTGTCACACCCTATACACCCCTGTCACACCCTACACCCCCCCCCGTCACACCCTACACACCCCTGTCACACCCTACACCGTCACATCCTACACCGTCACACCCTACACCACCTGTCACACCCTACACACCCCTGTCACACCCTACACACCCCTGTCACACCCTACACACCCCTGTCACACCCTACACACCCCTGTCACACCCTACACACCCCTGTCACACCCTACACACCCCTGTCACACCCTACACACCCCTGTCACACCCTACACACCCCTGTCACACCCTACACACCCCTGTCACACCCTACACACCCCTGTCACACCCTACACACCCCTGTCACACCCTACACACCCCTGTCACACCCTACACACCCCTGTCACACCCTACACACCCCTGTCACACCCTACACATCCCCGTCACACCCTACACCACCTGTCACACCCTACACCACCTGTCACACCCTACACACCCCTGTCACACTCTACACACCCCTGTCACACTCTACACACCCCTGTCACACTCTACACACCCCTGTCACACTCTACACACCCCTGTCACACTCTACACACCCCTGTCACACCCTACACCCCCCTGTCACACCCTACACACCCCTGTCACACCCTACACACCCCTGTCACACCCTACACACCCCTGTCACACTACACACCCCTGTCACACTACACACCCCTGTCGCACTCTACACACCCCTGTCGCACCCTACACACCCCTGTCGCACCCTACACACCCCTGTCACACCCTACACACCCCTGTCACACCCTACACATCCCTGTCACACCCTACACACCCCTGTCACACCCTACACCCCCTGTCACACCCTACACCCCCTGTCACACCCTTCACACCCCTGTCACACACCCCTGTCACGCCCTACACACCCCTGTCACACCCTATACACCCCTGTCACACCCTACACCCCCCCCCCGTCACACCCTACACACCCCTGTCACACCCTACACCGTCACATCCACACCGTCACACCCTACACCTGTCACACCCTACACCCCTGTCACACCCTACACACCCCTGTCACACCCTACACACCCCTGTCACACCCTACACACCCCTGTCACACCCTACACACCCCTGTCACACCCTACACACCCCTGTCACACCCACACACCCCTGTCACACCCTACACACCCCTGTCACACCCTACACACCCCTGTCACACCCTACACACCCCTGTCACACCCTACACACCCCTGTCACACCCTACACACCCCTGTCACACCCTACACACCCCTGTCACACCCTACACACCCCTGTCACACCCTACACACCCCTGTCACACCCTACACACCCCTGTCACACCCTACACACCCCTGTCACACCCTACACACCCCTGTCACACCCTACACACCCCTGTCACACCCTACACACCCCTGTCACACCCTACACACCCCTGTCACACCCTACACACCCCTGTCACACTCTACACACCCCTGTCACACTCTACACACCCCTGTCACACTCTACACACCCCTGTCACACTCTACACACCCCTGTCACACTCTACACACCCCTGTCACACCCTACACACCCCTGTCACACCCTACACACCCTACACACCCCTGTCACACCCTACACACCCCTGTCACACCCTACACACCCCTGTCACACCCTACACACCCCTGTCACACCCTACACACCCCTGTCACACCCTACACACCCCTGTCACACCCTACACACCCCTGTCACACCCTATACACCCCTGTCACACCCTACACACCCCTGTCACACCCTACACACCCCTGTCACACCCTACACACCCCTGTCACACTCTACACACCCCTGTCACACCCTACACACCCCTGTCACACCCTACACACCCCTGTCACACCCTACACACCCCTGTCACACCCTACACATCCCTGTCACACCCTACACACCCCTGTCACACCCTACACCACCTGTCACACCCTACACACCCCTGTCACACTCTACACACCCCTGCCACACTCTACACACCCCTGTCACACCCTACACCCCCCTGTCACACCCTACACCCCCCCCCGTCACACCCTACACCCCCCTGTCACACCCTACACCCCCTGTCACACTCTACACCCCCTGTCACACCCTACACACCCCTGTCACACCCTACACACCCCTGTCACACCCTACACACCCCTGTCACACCCTACACACCCCTGTCACACCCTACACACCCCTGTCACACCCTACACACCCCTGTCACACCCTACACACCCGTCACACCCTACACCCCCTGTCACACCCTACACCCCCCGTCACACCCTACACCCCCCTGTCACACCCTACACCCCCCTGTCACACCCTACACCCCCCTGTCACACCCTACACCCCCCTGTCACACCCTACACCCCCCTGTCACACCCTACACCCCCCTGTCACACCCTACACCCCCCTCACACCCTACACACCCCCCGTCACACCCTACACACCCCTGACACACCCTACACACCCCTGTCACACCCTACACCCCCCTGTCACACCCTACACCCCCCTGTCACACCCTACACCCCCCGTCACACCCTACACACCCCTGTCACACCCTACACACCCCTGTCACACCCTACACACCCGTCACACCCTACACCCCCCTGTCACACCCTACACCCCCCTGTCACACCCTACACCCCCCTGTCACACCCTACACCCCCCCGTCACACCCTACACACCCCTGTCACAGCCTACACCCCACCTGTCACACCCTACACACCCCTGTCACACCCTACACCACCTGTCACACCCTACACCACCTGTCACACCCTTATCCTAGTGTGGCCTGGTGTATGGCTGGGTGTACTGCTGCGTATTGCATCCCGTGGTGTATAGTATGGTGTGTATCACAGTGAGTATCTGTGTCACATGATGTATAACATGCTCTGTATAACATGGTGTGTATAACATGGTGTGTATAACATGGTGTGTATAGCATGGTGTGTATAACATGGTGTGTATAGCATGGTGTGTATAACATGGTGTGTATAACATGGTGTGTATAACATGGTGTGTATAACATGGTGTGTATAACATGGTGTGTATAACATGGTGTGTATAACATGGTGTGTATAACATGGTGTGTATAGCATGGTGTGTATAACATGGTGTGTATAACATGGTGTGTATAACATGGTGTGTATAACATGCTCTGTATAACATGGTGTGTATAGCATGGTGTGTATAACATGGTCTGTATAACATGGTGTGTATAACATGGTGTGTATAACATGGTGTGTATAACATGTATAGCCAACACAGTGTTCTGATGCTTGAGTATCTGGCAGAAGCAGGGACACTGTATTCAAGGACAGGCACAGAAAACAAAAGGCTGGCATTCCGAAAGGGAAACTATGAGGAGATAAGAAAATTCCTAACATATAACTTGGGAAACAGAGCTGAGAAGAAAGACGGCCCAAGACGTGATGGACTACATCACGCAGATGTGTAAGGAGGCAGCAGCCAAGTTCGTCCCAGTCCAAAAGGAAAAAAATCGAAATGCATGTGAGAAACCCATGGTTCAATAAGAGATGTAAGCTAGCAAAGCAACGAAGTACAAGGGCTTGGAGAAACTGTAGAAACGACAGGACACTTGATACCTGGTTGATGGGGTTCTGGGAGTTGTTCTACTCCCCAAGCTCCAGCCCGAGGCCAGGCTTGACTTGTGAGAGTTTGGTCCACCAGGCTGTTGCTGGGAGCGGCCCGCAAGCTCATATGCCCACCACAGTCCGGTTGGTCCGGCACTCCTTGGAGAAAATTTTCTCCTTTTGAAGATGTCCACGGTTGTTCCGGCAATATTTCTTATGCTCGCTGGGAGGACGTTGAACAACCGTGGACCTCTGATGTTTATACAGTGTTCTCTGATTGTGCCTATGGCACCTCTGCTCTTCACTGGTTCTATTCTGCATTTTCTTCCATATCGTTCACTCCAGTACGTTGTTATTTTACTGTGTAGATTAGGGACCTGTCTCTCCAGTATTTTCCATGTGTATATTATTTGGTATCTCTCTCGTCTCCTTTCTAGTGAGTACATTTGGAGAGTTTTGAGACAATCCCAATAATTTAGGTGCTTTATCTCGTCTATGCGTGCCGTATATGTTCTCTGTATTCCCTCTATTTCAGCAATCTCTCCTGCTCTGAAGGGGGAAGTGAGTACTGAGCAGTACTCAAGACGGGACAACACAAGTGACTTGAAGATTACAACCATTGTGATGGGATCCCTGGATTTGAAAGTTCTCGTAATCCATCCTATCATTTTTCTGGCTGACGCGATATTTGCTTGGGTCGTCAGACATCATTATTCCCAAATCCTTGACATGTTGTTTTCCTACTATGGGCAGATTTTACTGTGTTTTGTACCCAGTATTTTT